TAAGAAACATAGTTGACTAACTTTTCCTTCAGGGTGGCCCCTTCTGGCTGTGTGACATAGCTGTTACGTGTTATCACTGACAAGCATCATGGCGACTGTCGAGAATGAAAAGTAGATGCAGAATGTCACTCTGTCCAAAACAAGACAAGCCAGTGAACTTAGTTTGCAGGGACAGAGTCACAGATATTTAAAATGCCATCTCAAGTGTCCTTACTGATGGAAGCATGAAACTACATGGATGAGTTGTAAGGACAAATGTGGTGGAATACAATGAATTTTCTTTGAAGAAGTTTACAGCTTTCACAAGTCGAAGAGAGACTTTGATCCCATTCAGTGGTCAACTCTAACACGTGTGAATGCATCTAAATAATTAATCCTTAATGTACCTTGACATCTGTTCACTCAGAGCACAGTTGTAGATGGTCTAGAATCGCACGTAGCCACATTCTTTTCACCAGATGCAAATATGTCCAGGGCCACATATGTAGGGCCACCTCCTCAGCTGACATCCCCTGACCCACTACAGTTTCATAATGAACCAAATATTTTTACACATTTCAGAGTCCTTACATTTGTTTGTATATCAACATTATCGATATCAACACTGACTGCCACATAATGATTAGTACTTTCTTTAAACTGGAAAAATAAGAATGGGTAAAAACATTTTTGGCTGTGTGATGTAATAAGCTTTCACGTTTAATTAACCACAAAATATTGTACAACATAAAAATGAGGACAGAGACACAAAAACAAGTACAAACTACAGATGACCCCAATAGGAAAATTGTTCCCCACCCATGATCTACTGGGTATGAATTGTGTGATTCATCAGAGGGAAGTTGCAAAGGGAAGAGAAATCTTGGCATAATATCAAGAAAACAGTCAATAACAAATGTCCTCTTCTGTTTCTCTCTCCGATCAGGTGGCTGTTTAATAAAACAGTCTGTATTATCTATGCCTTCTGTGGTGTGTTGTTTGGCCTGTGCAGTCTGACCAACCTCACAGTTCTCTCCTGCGTCTGCTGGCTCAAGGTCTGCTGCCCAAACTATGGTAAGACAAGCCCATTTTAATGCTTTACTCCAGCATTGCATATATATCAACCATCATCACATTATTTCAACTCATTATCTTAAGCAGAAGAGTTCACTTAAAGAGTCACACAGTGTGATTAATTTATTGATACTGATGCTAGAAGGCTTTTTTTACCATATTGATCACCATACTGATGAGTCTTTTCTTTCTTGCCCTCCGAGCCAAAAACCTTGAATCTAAAGAGATAAATAATAAAGCAGCAATGCCAGGATTCAAGAGCTTGTTTCAAAGAAAAATATGACCATGCTGCTGTAGTGTTAATGTTCAAAGCCGTGTTTTAAACCTTTTTCACAAAACGATATGCAAATAGGGAAATGTTTTCAAGGCCCTTTTACTGTTCTTTCTACATTTGTAATGTATTTCCCTGCATCTGTTTAGTTTGAAAAGCTCACAAACCATCCAATTATTGGACTTGAACAATGAACTGTGCATGTTCTGAATCCATCCACACTGTCAGTAATTACTGATGAATTTAAAATTGTGTTCATTTTACTTAAGACCACAGTGAAAGTGAATCAAACACATAAAACAATCAGTTTTATTTACATTTACTTTCAGACCAAATATTATGAATTTAAAAGCAGTATTCAAACACACCCTTTTCATCAAACGAAACTGAGATTGCTTTCTCACTGTTCATGTGTGTATATACGTTGAATGATTTATATAGCTGGTCTTATTTTTCCGCACCACTCATTGTCACCTATGAATCTTGTGATTCACATGAATAAAATAAATTTAAAAAACTTTTTTATGCCAGATCGTGCTGGTCGGCCAGTTTCGACCTGCATGCCGCCATTTGACAACCATTGCCTTACAGCACAATGTGGTTGTAAGGGTATTTTAAGTGTTCATCAGCAATT